CACGAAATCTGCACTTCATCTCCAACACCCGCGCCTGCCACGAAATCACATTTTGAGGTGAACCCCCTGCGGCAAAACACCTTCTCAACCAACCAACCAACCAACCAACCCACGCCACGAAATCCGCACTTTTGATGAACACAGTGCGCCTGCTGTCACACTTTCTGGAACACCGAACCTCATAGTACTAGTGATTCCTGCTACATCACATCTGAGGTCGTCACGGTCCGCGAAACCACGACTGGTTGACCGCTGACAGCAGGTCCGGCTTCTTCAGAGCATGTATTGCTTCTTGCTGGCAGTGCTGGAAGAAACACTTCTCCTGCGCCCAGTGCGAGTCTGTATACCCGGGCACTCTGCAATCAGTGCGCATCTTCACCACAAGGTCGAACTGGACACGTTGCACCCAAACGGTGAGTTAAAGCACGTGTTGCGCATCGATACCGACGGGAAAACGATGCGCTCGGCGCGCGCCACACAGGCAACATTCGCGCGCGCGCGCATAAATTATCTAATCTTAAAACACTTTTCGCACAAACGCGCGCGCAAAAAATATCTCATAAATTATTCGCGGAAACGCGCGGATCGACAACCTGTTTTTGCGCAATCTGCGCAAAACGCGACGTTCGCGTAAAACGCGTCTTTTGCGCACCGTCCTTTGTAGGGACAGCCTTTGGCTTCACGGCTGCCTTCGCTGTGTCCTCGGGTTGTCGACCACGTTTGGATGCCTGACAGTGCACCGGCACCAGGGGGCATTCAAGGAACTCAGGCGATCTGACACGCAAGACGTTGCGTTGATGCTTGTGAGCCGACCTCTTTGCTTTCTGCTCCACGGTGTCTGGCCTATGAGCTATACAGCCTCCTGCGGCTCGGCCCCTATATACCGGGTACCCAAGTGCAGACTCACGACAGAATGATTCAAAGGCGCGAAACTAGAGTTCATCTTGTTCTAGTGCCGCCCAGGGACAGGGGCATGCCTCTCACCGCATCGATAGCACACCGTATCATGAGCGCACGCCAACACCTGGGCACATCACGCCACTTTGGAAGTCGCTGCACCAAGTCAAAAAGTAGGAAGTAGAACAATGGCAGCATGGAGGATGTATACGGAAACGGTCTCAACAAGAAATGCTTCTGCAAAGTGCATACACGACAAATTCCTTCCACGAAGCTTGGCCCGATTACTTTGCTAAGGCAACACCATTCCACGCATGGTCGGCGAAGAAGCCAGGTTCCACAAGTTTGTTCGGCCTGCTAGGACCAGGAACTTCGTGCGAACATGTGTGGACGAGGCGCGACTCCACACGTGCACTGCATCGCCCCCGGACCCCTGCGAACCAAATGGCTGCGGCACCAAAACACTGCTCCCTTGCCTCGTCTTTATTCGCCCCCGGGGGCCCCCCCTCTTTTTCCGGGGGGGGGGGGGGGGTGGTGACCACCCCCCCCTGGTCCATTGTCCCATCTAAGGCGCCGGAGCCACGAAGCTTCGGCTTGCAAGCGAAAAGGGCTGGGCTGCTTTTTGTGCAACCCTCATGTCGAAACATGCCAGGGCATCACATCACACACCCGCCAGAGCGCCTCTGAGTGCAGCAGATCGGAGAAGCCCCATGGCACCATGTGAAGGAGAACGGTCTATCCAAAGAACGTCATTGAGCTAAGGATTGGTCATCTTCCAATCTAAGTGTCCGTATAGATTACAGATTTCCTTTCCTGATAAAATCCTTAAATGGTCTTCCATTCGGGGGGCTTCCATTACCTGGGCTGCATTCAGTGATGCCATCTGAATCTTATGGGGTCGAAAAGCTTGGTAAACCTGACAGGGTGTTACCAGAAGTCGTTGGCTGTGACCAATGCTTACAAGATATTGCAAATGAGTGTTTGCTCCTTGATCCATATGAGCGCCAGGCCGGACTCAGGAAGCAAGACCCCTCTCAGGAGGGTTTTGACCCTAAACATCCCTAAACCCTTCCTCAGGAGGTGTTTTCCCAAACACTTGCGCACAAAGGATTTGGAGGGACTGGGTATATGCTATGTTTGTATATGTATATGACATATTCATATACTGTGTATGTTTGTATAGATGCGATGTCATATATTAAAGCACGTATGATATACTTATCATATAATTTATGTGTTACATAAATAAGATCATGCTGTGTCATGCTGCACTATTATACTATGGTATATTGTATGTACATGAATTGTATACATATATAGTAATATATACTAGTTACTATCATATATATACCCGTTGTTAAAGTATAGTGTATACCCGTTGTTAAAGTACATGACACGCAAGAAATGGAGCTTCGTTTCAACCATTCACTCTGGAAAGTACCGGTTGGTTGGGGGGTCCACGGCGAGCAAGTGGTCTACATGTAGAATGTGAAAAGAAAAAACATTATATTAATTATGCGAACTGATCATTGGTACAAGCAAGGTGTTGCGAAGACGCCTCACAAACCAACCCGACTGAATTCTAGGCATTGGGAAGAAAGGCATCGAATGGTCAAGTAAGAAGGGCAACGCTGAGAATACCACAGTCTCACGGCAATTCGTTCACAGCCCACCACAAGTTGGTGATGTGAACAACCCCTAACCCCCCCAGCAGCTGCTTCCAGTCGGCAGTTCCATGTGAAGCCACCCACACCGCTGCCGCGTATGTTGCGCATGCCATCCGCACCCTCTCCACGCTATTTCGTGCTCCTCCGGCGCTTCTCCCGCGTCTCCGCCCAGGCGCGGTAGGTGAAGCGCATCCGCGAGGGCGCTGGACAGTCCAAGTGCTCCAGCCTCGGCGACCACGGGCGCGACCTGATCCACCCACAGACCCGGCGGACTCCTTGGGATCGAAGGGCGAGAGACAGCTGTCCTTTCTGCGCCCCAAAACGGTGCGGGGGATCAGATACATCGGGGTTTTGATGCCACCAGCGGCCGGCTGATACTGTTGGAAGAACCTTGACCAGTGTCACTAGAAAGGACCCATCTTAAAATCTCCAAAAGAGCTTGGCGATCGCTAACAAATCCACCAATTTGGTATAGAAACCCCTCATCAAAACGTTTGCGCCAAGATTGGCCAAGTGCTGCGTTAGTTTGAGATGTTCAAACAGGTCTCCGAGGGGTTCAAACAGTTGGCCGTTGTATCTCTTTTCCTCTTCTTGGGTGCAAAGCAAGGCAAACTTAGCAGCACTATAGCATGGTTTTCCGCCCAAATGCTTTAGTCATTATTCCCCGGGCCGGGTGGTTCCTCTGTCGGGTTTCCTGGGTCATATTCCAGGATGTTAAATTTTCAGGACAAGGCCGAAGGAAGCTCTTCTTTTCGAGCAAATTATGAACACATTTTTGGATGGCCTGCTCTTGAAACTTCAGGGACCACACCTATATCCAACATGCTGAAAGAACACGATGTGTTCTTCTTTTTTGTCCAGGGCCTCTCTACTTGCAAAAGGAGAGAATTCAACTCATTCTCATGCTGTGGGCTCCAAAGACCTGGTCCAAGCCAAGCACGTGTAGGTCGCAGTTCAGAGGTTCGGTGGAGTCACATTCAGTGGGATATGTCTTGTGGTGACCAACAGGGACTCCATGTCGTCACGAACTCAAGAAGCTGACCGTCCACGCTCCGATGGCTCCCTGCCGCGCACCCGATGGCTCTGGGCCTCCCCCGCGTCCGCCGGCGCCTGAGACTGCGGTTCTGGGCCTCCCCCTGAAGTCCCAGTCGGAAGAGGCCGGAAAAGTCCCAGATGAGGTGGTTCAAACGAGCTACACATGAGAAGTACGTGTGAATCCTGAAGGAGGTGAGAACCTGAGAAAAGATAGGCGCTTCCTAAAAGCATCTAAAGGCTATCAAAGAAACTGAGAGACCGCCCCCTGCAAGGCCATTCATCTTCCAGAATTTGTCTGAGGCCATCCCTGTGTATCAAGCAAAAGGCCAGTTCGATTAATCTACTAGAAATCCCAGTGTCAAGAGGCTGATGGAAAAAGACAACTGCGCTAATGTAGTTGATTGACCAACACTGTCCAAAAGGGGTGGCTTTGAGCTGGTCTGGTGTTTCAAGGACACAAACCTGCCAGAAGCACCTAATGGATGCCTCCCCTGCTGGATGCTTGTGATGATATTGGGTCATACTCTATGACTCTCTCGTTTGACACGCTCAAATGAGAAAATGGCCATCGAAACTGGCAAAATAACACCCATGATCAATCAGCCACAACTTCTCCTATCTATCTATACAGTATACGTTTTCAAATACCGTACTCTATCTGCTCTCATTTGATATCATTTTCTGAGACGAGGCAGCCTGACGATGCTGATACTGGCCGCTCCCGATCAGCTCTCTTTCACATCAAACACAGAGGGGACAAAGCTGTCAACCCCAGGCACAAGTGAACAAACATGGAACCAATTCTTTTTTTGTGGGTTGCCCAAAGGAAGCTGATCTGATCTATTTGATCTGTATTGATGCGTGATAACTGGATCCCAGCTGTCGCACTATTATGTGGAACATGGGGGAACCCAAAGCCGTCTTTGCTGTGCCTTTGGAAATGTCCTTACTTCTCAGGTCTCAACTGAGAGTTCACAGACTCCCTCAAACCCAAAGGCTGAAGACCACTGCTTCGCGCCAACCAACCCACATTTGTTTAAGCCAAGCTGCTTCTTGTAGAAGGCCACTGTCCTCTTACAGGGCTCAAAGCTCAAGCCTGGGCAGCTCCGCCAGTGCTTGTGTAGGAGTGAGACTTACATGTTTCGTGCTCAAGGAATGCCAGTATAGTACAGGACCATCCAATGGGTGTCCAATGGAGATCCCCAAGTGGTATTAAGTAGTGTAGGGTAGTCCATTGGACAACATTGGATGGTCCTAGTAGATATTGTTTCAGGACATTGATCACATGATTTCTCTTTTTGATCCACGTTGCTCCCTTCACGAAAAAGAATAGAACCTACTTCCGACCAGCACCACTTACTTCGGGTAGGACACCTTCTAGGACGCCCCCAAACCCGTATTCATCATGTCTTCCCTCTCACCCACCCGAACTCCAGCGGTGCTCCGGTGGCGCCGAAGAGCAAAGGTTGGCCCTGAAGCCTTTGGTGCTGCTCCATCCTCCGACCCGTCCAGGCAGGCGACGTGACGTGGCGCTGGTCGTGGACGGATTAGGGGACGCGCTGGTCGCTCGGCAGTGAAGGTGTGGAGAACAGGGAAACCATGCCATGGAATCCAGGACCCATGCCATGTTGTTGGATTGATACTCACATTATATGTTGGTTGGCATGAAAGGAGCTTCACACGAGAATGATCTTTCGGACAGAGGAGATCTCACATCTGGACTCCTGCTTCTTGGCCGGAGAACGCTCGCTTCTTTGGGGGTGTGTGCATGTGCATTGCAAACACAACAGTCTCCAGAAAGAAGAGTTTCCAACCAATTCCATCGACACGTTTCGTTGCCAAACCAGCAACCTCGGGTGCTCTGTCTGGATCTCCTCTTCGATCATCTTTACCTTCCACCCGTCCCAATCCTTCACCTTCCACCTTTTGGAAGCGCCTCGCGGCGCGGGGGACAAGCGTCCCATGAGCTCCCAAATGGGCCACCTCAAACTGGCTGAAAGACATCATTCTGCTGCGCCGCGGAATGATCTTCACGCGATTCGAGCGGACAACACCTATGTGTTTGTCTTGAAGATCGTCTTCCCTGCAGCTAATCAGTAAGTCTATAAGAGGATCCAAGAGGACATCCGTTGGCTGAAACCGGAGCATGTGATCCTTGACTATCCTTGACTCGGTGGCCTTTTCGGCCAACCAATCCTATAACGGTCCTTCGCTGCCCGGTGACTCGGGGACCAAGGAGTCACAGGGGCCCCGACGTCCGCTGCAGTCCGCGTCTCGCAGTCTCGTTGTTTCAGCCACGCAGAATCCGAATCATGGACCGACCTATGTGTGTACATCACCAGGAGTGACGTGTGAAAAGCAAATGGACTAACACAAGGGAATTCCATCCTTGCGTGGTTGATGTCAAAAGTTCTGCTAGGGTCCCAATGGGTCCCATATGTTCTTGAACCACGGGATGCAGTTGTTGATGAAAGAATCGACTCTGGATGGCACCTCTCATGGCTTCCACGTTTGTTCCATGGATGATGTTATTTTCAGCGGTGATGAGCCTCATCCCTCAGCATCATTAGGGCAATGGACGTCCAAAATGTCCCCAAAAGCAGCTAAAGCGTGCTACCTTTCAGAGAGTGTACCCCTCAAATGCCCTTTCCCAACGTTTCCGCCCAACTCATCTTAACCTGCCTCTTCTCCAGTCCTTCGTTCTTCGGAACACCCAGCTGGAGTCTCCAATACCCCACCGGGGTATCCAAGAAGTCAACATCGGCTCCCAACATCTGCCATCTCCCAACATCTCCCAACATCTCATTCCTTTCCCCATCTCAGGTCACTCAGGTCATGAGAGAAAAAGTTGGGCATGGATCACCCATATCCTCAGGTCTCTTTGGGTGCTGCTGTGCCAAAACATCTTCTCCTAGCCACTCACTCCATCCAGCTGTCCCATCCTGGCCTGGTGAAGACCGCCTGGGGAAACCGCAAGGATCGCAGCGACTCGTCCACGGCCATCACTGCCTGGTGAAGACCAAGGAGTCGGAGGAGTCCGTTTTTTTCGTGTGTTTCCTGTTGTTTTGGTTTCTGGACAAGGTCCTCCACTGCAACTCGTGGGATGATGAGCATCTCCAGGCTTGGTGGCTGGTTTTCCTGCGACAGCAGGGCTTGGGAACCTTTCAATTTCCGGGGGTCAAACATCTTCGAACCCGACACACCATGAGCCCCCCTAACATCCAAACATCTCGTAGAAAAGCCATCCACCTGGGTCCAAGATCCTTAGGATCCTTTCTGGTCTCCCAAAAGCACCAGCCGGCCCGTCTGGCCCGGCTGTGAGCCTCGCCTGGTCTGCTGGAATCAACTTTGCCCAGGCAATCACCAAAGCAGCTGCAGCTTCGACCTGTGAAGAGCTTTCAGTTCTAAACAGGGTAGGAAGATGATGGAAGATGTCAACGAGTTGCGCTTCAACATGCTTCAACCGCAGATGGTTGGATTATGGAATTCATCATGCGAGGACATGCGAGGTATTAACCACCCCATTTTACCAACCAGTCAACAGGTGAGAGACTCTGACACCGGGCTCCTGGAATACAACGGAGCAGGTCGATCTGGGGGCAGAATTGGTGGATTCCGGGTTCCGTTGGCCAAACTTCAAACCGATCAAAGCAGTGCCCCTGCACAAAGAATCCGTTTGGTGTTTCATGTTGCAGGGGAATCTACCTTTGATAGTTTGCTCGATCTCTTTTGGGAGCACCATGACTGGCCCCCAAGTCCAGCCACCCGCCCCAAGTGAATTCTTTTTTGCTACCGATCCACAGGCTAAAGTGAGACACACACTCTTGATCCGATCTGTTTTGTAGCTGATTTTGACGCCTGAATGATACAGGTTGTTTGAACCAGGAGGGCAGGAGGCCTTGTCTAGGGGGGCCAAGGCGTCCGGTGTCCGGTGTCTCCCTCTTGCTTTAGAGGCCACAACGGTATTGGTGGGACGAAAAGGAAGAACACAAACGTCCAACCTTAGTCCTTAGTCCAAGATATCATGATATCAGGCACTTTTTAGAAGAACCAGTTGATGAGTCAGTGGACCCTGCAATGACCTGAGCCTGCAATGACCGGATTCCCACACAAGAATCCAAGAATCGGTGTCGGAACGCTGCTCGCCTCTGCACAAGAGAAGCGCTCCTGTTGGAAGTAAGCGCCAGCTGCCTGGACCTCAGAAGACGATGGCCTAGTGGTTGGCCGGCCTCATCCCCTCCCGGGCCACGTGGCTGGATGGCTGGGTGGATAGAAATACCTCCTGAATTGCAGGAGCACCCAAGTGGCTATGCCACTGAGTGGGGTGTCAAGGCTCACAGGACCCCCAACCAACCTGAGATCCCAACATCTCCCAGCCGCCGGCTCCCAACCTGGTCCTTTTCATTCTCCGTGGGCTCCCGGACCAAGCGCCCTGAGGGCCGCCCTCGCGGCAAGTCCTCCTGACGAACCGTCTGGAAACCCGGGATGATGGGGGGGGGAGGATGATCCCTATCTGGAAGAATTCTCAAGTAAAACATGTAAACGTGTCAAAACGGAGCATAACGGAGCAAGTGGTAAAACGTGTATATAGTAGCTGATTCCCTTCAAACACCTTGGAGTTGATGGTTCTACATGGAGCACCGCTAGGGGTCACTTGGGCGGTAGCTACTACCCAGCGGACCATCTTGCGTCACCGCCACCCGAGCTGGTGAGGAAGAACAACGACCGATGAAGGCCTCCTGAACACATGAAAGCCGCGTCAACAGGGGGGATTCTCCGTGGAGTTCTCCGGAGTCTCACTCGGTAGTGGGTCATCTGAAGATCTCTCAGAATCGGGAGCTCGACATCCGACACAAAAAAGCAACGGCACATCAGCTCGATCTCATCCACCGGCCAACCCGGCACAAGGCTGTCCAGAACGCATTCCCTGTAGCGATCTCAAGAAAGCACTGTAGAATGAACATCCAGAAAGAAGGATTATATACGTCCTAGATCCGAAGGATTAAGGATGAAGAGTGACAAACCCGAAATAACCAATTTGATTTCAGAGAGTTGCTCTGGCCCTTTGAAACCTGCTGACCCTTCCCTTTCTGCTCCCCGAATCCGACCTGCAAGGCCTCCCAAAGAGGGATCAGCAGCTGCTTGATCTGGCTCAAGGGGCCCGGGGGGTTGGTAAGGGATGGCCCATGAACGCTCTGGATGTGTTTTACAGTGTGGAACTAAGTCACCCTCGTCCCCAGGGACATCACCGTCCCTGTTGTGAAGAAGAGGACGGAGGTGGCCATGGGGACTCAAAAGCGCGTCAGCGTCTGCCGCTGCGTGCCTGCACATGTTCTACTATAAATTAAAGATTAAAGGTCTATTAAAGGATATTAAAGGTCTAAGGTCGCGCTCATTTTGGGTGGTGATTCAAGAAGCTTCGGCTGGGGCGACGTTCTCACCTCAGCACGGCACTTGAATTCGACGATGGAAATGGGTGCTCTCCGAAACCCTTGGGAGCCCGGTTTTGATCGACATCAAGGAGTCGTGGCTTTCTTTTTCAATCAGCCTTTGTCTTCCAGTCGTGTTCTCTCTACGGGGTTTTGGCCCATTTGGTTGCCCCTCCATTGACCTTTGGTTGTTCATAGCTTCCCCCTTTGGATCCAACATAAGGGGTGGCAGCGGTCCAAAAGGCCAGCTTCCAAGTCCGAGAACGGAGGAAAGGTGGAATAGGATGGAATAGGATGGAATATAGGAACCGACTGACCACTTGCGACCACGTGTCAAAGGAGATGTGTGGGTGAGTTTCTGTGATCTCCGTCAAGAAAACCCCTCAGGTACCTCGGAAACGCCCGAAGAATACACAGTTCAAGGAATCAAGGAAGTAGCTTTCAACATTCCAGCAGGTTATGTAGACGGGTCTGCTTTGGATCATATCAAAAGAATCGGCCCATTTGGAGGAAGCAACCGGCGCGCATTGCTGCGCTGAGAGGGCACCCGGATCCCAAACCTAACATTGTCCAGATGAGATGCCTGCAGGCAGCAAATAGCAAACAGATGGGACTTTCTAAAGTCGGATTTGGAGAATCAACAAATCAAAGCAATCACGTCGATTAACGATGTAAAATGATCATCAATGCTGCTCAGGAACTTCAGAAGAAAGGGACTTGTATGGACTCGTTTTTGTGCCATGCAGTGCAACCAAGCCAGGAACGCAGAAAAACAGATTACAAGGATCCGGGGGTCGCTTTGGACCAAAAAGGAACCACAAGGATCGTCAATCTCATCACCCAGTAGGGCACCTCAGGCCGATGCCCCGTGGTGGATGCCCCACGCCGACCGGCGCAGGCGGCGTCCCGGGGGTACCTCGGCCTCCTCTTGCTCTGTACGCAAGAGCATGCTGGGCGGTACAGCAGGAGGACGAGGCTCCTGGAGGATGAAGGGCCAGGTGCGGAACACTGCAACGAGTCATTGCAAGAAGACAAGGCGAAGTTCGAAGGCAAAGATGCGGGCCGTGAATCAAGGGGCTGAGAAGGAATATGAACATATTCATCATATCATAATAATACTATGATCAGAATTATATCCTTGGATGAGGTCCTACAAGGATGGTTGTACGTCTCAGTTGGTCCTGCTTTCAGCCGCAGTTGGATTCGATAATGATATCCTCCCTGCAACAAGCATGGAAGTGAACAACTACCTTCCTCCACCCAAATCACACTCTGTTGATGTCGGCCATGTGGCAGGTGGCCCATGGTCAAGAAATCCGTCCACTCCCTGAAAGCTCAGAAAGAAACGAACATCCAAATCCGACTCGACACGAGTACCATCACTTTTGCTTTCGTTTCGCTACGAGTACCAAACACCGCAGCGATCTGCACACGTCGCTCTTTCCTCGCCCTGACCGCCGTCCAATCGGACACGTCCAATCGGCGGGTGGGACCGAGGCGTTCGTTGAAACCACCTGGGCGGAAGCGAAGAGTCGATGGCATGATCTTTGTCTCCAAAAGGAAACTAAGTATACTAATATAGGCACTTTAGAGAGTCCATCAGGGATGATTCGATGCTGTTAATCATGCTTTGGGGGTATACTCGATCCACACACTATATCATACTATACTCTAAAGGATTCAAGAAACAAAATGGAACCATGCACTTCTGCCAAGACTCTCCTTTTCTTCTCCGGCTTGCTTCAGCCCCGGCTTGCTTCAGCCTCGTGCGTGCCTTTTCGTCTGCGCGGGATCTGCACGTGGCCACCTGGGCAGGAACGAAGTAGGGCCACCCGGTTCAGTACGTGTGATAGTCGGTGATTGGAGGGACCGGATGCCCGGTTTTCCCACTCACAAAGGGGATTAAAGCAAAGATGGAACTTCTGGGTGGTAGTTTAGTTCAGCGTGGTGAGGGTCCAGAAGACCAGTTTTGCCAGCTTGGGTGCCAAAAAGCATCAAGCTAATGGTCAGAGATAGTCCTGATTCACTTGAATTGGCTGTCATGGAACCGGAAAAGCAATATAAGCAATAAAAATCTTGCCCAGAAGGGGGTTCAACATCCCCCTAAGCAAGGATCAACTTGAACGAAGAGGGCACAGCGCATGACCGGCCACGTCAGGCTCGCTTGTGCATCCGACAACCGCCGGTCCGACCCAACTGAATCAGCTACAAATCTGGGCTCGACAACCTGCAACTGACAACTGACCTGCCCCAAAAGAAACACAACATCTCTGCTCCTCCGGAGTCAGGGTTCACTTTGTGGGTTCACTCGTGCCCCAAGAGGTGTTCGACCGAACCATCTAAAATGACTCCCAACAATACTCAACACAGCCCACAGCGGCGCAGCTCTTTGCACCTCCCGACCCAAGGTTCACCCAACCTTCCACCTCTTTGTGAACGAAATCCAGCCCCTTCAGGGCCCATCACCCAGACACTCGATGAAACTCAAACACTCGACCCATGCCGAACACCGGTCGCCGAGGGTGCACAGAACACCCCGCCTCGACGCCGGCTTCCGAGCTCGCCGGCTCCACCCTTCACCGGTCCATCACACCAGAATAGCTCCCATCTTCACCTGAGAGAGAGAGAGAGAGACCGAAGGAGTGGAGGATTCCCCCGACCGGCCTCCAAGAATCAGCGAGATTTTTTTGGATTCCCTTGAAAATGCATCTGCGGTTGGTTTACAAAACACACAGCACACAGGTGCGGCAATGTCTGATTGACCCCGATTGACCCCCGAACCTCATCGGTCCATCTCGCGTCCTCTCGGTCCGGGAGCCCCATCGAGGGAGGCCCCGGCCGGGGAGTGGGCGCGTGGTGATGAGCGTTGAAAAGCGATGAGCTGCCCATGAACCCCAAAAAGAGCTATATAATTGTTGTTTTTACTGTTTTTTTGAGGTTTTTGTTGAGGGTCAGTACATGGCCCGGACATGGACGTTCTGTTGGTTTCGGTGTATTTGGGCTGTTCTTTTGATGACTTTGGACTTTGGACGCCGTTTTCTTAGAAGTAGGATGAAAATGGATCCAATCGACCGCTGATGGATGCTTCAGGACGGAATCCAAACAATGCGGAGACACCACCATGTCATACCATTTCTCATACCAAATGCTGCGGCGTTGCTGTGTTCTCGCAGCTGGCGGTGGAACGTGCTGAGGTCGCAGGGCAGTTCCTGGAGGTCCAAGGCCTCCTCAACCTTGGCCAAAGTGCTTGGGACTCTGTCTGCACTGGGGTGTCCCCCACCATGAAGAAAAACACCAAAAGTTGCACTGCAAATCGATTTCTTCTCCATCGATCCACCATGATCCACCCATTCACTGCCATTCACCCATCCGAATGCATGACAGGTGGCATAGTTCAATGAGAGGGAATTCACACAGTGCCGTTCCGGCACTGCACCACCCAGTGCCAAGCCGTCCATGAAGACGTGGCCCAGGTGCCCCCCACAGTGGCGGCAAAGGATCTCGCGACCACCCGAAATCCTCGATGTCGGAAAAAGGAATGACCAGCAGAAATGACGACATGAGTGACATGACTATATACATCATGGGAATTGGATTTGTTTGCGGGAATAAGAATAATATATCTGTGAAATTGATACCTAAGATCACTGAATCCTCACCCGTTCCATGGGACTGGAAATGTAACTTTGACCCGCAATATATATATATATATATAGTATTCCAGTCTCATGGGTGCTGCCTGGGTATTGAGATGAACTCGCTATTTGGGGTGACCTCCGAAAATGAAGTTCGCCTACCAAGGATGTCCTCCCACTGTTTTGGGCGGCCCACACCTATGACTCTTGGAGATTAAACTGGAAAGCCACCCTCATATGATTGGAGATGAAGCGGCGGTCACGCCCCTTTCCATCCCTGCTTGGCCACCCAAAATGAGGAACAAAACTGGTTGGCCAAAACACATGGTCAACCTTTGAATATCCCAAGGTGTTCGGGTGATTTTTTGATCACCCAAACCCAAATATATAATATAGATTAATTAATTGTGATGGTGATCGAATGAAAAGAACGCATAGTAGAACATAGAACCAATTACGTTTATCAACTATGACTATAGGTAGACGATTACTGAGGAATAGACTATGACTTTACTATCCTTGTCTCCAGTCCACCATCCGTTCAACGCCTTCAAATCGGGAGGGTGGAGCATTTGGATCAACCAAAGTTCACCAAGTCCAGTTCTCCTTGGATCTTCGGTCCAACATGGCAACATGGTGTTGGAATTCTTTTGTCAAACCGCAACCACCCCGGAGCCAACAACCTTGGGCCTCAACAGCCTTGGAGCCGACGCCCAACAGCCCTTGGTTCCATTGGTGTCACCGTCCCACCGGTCGCGTCCCTGGCTCCGCCCTGTGACGGACCTCACGGAGGAAACACTCAGAGGTCGACCTTGTTCTGATCCGCGAGCCAGGGGCCAGGCAAGACTTTAAGGCTAAGTCACTTGAACTGGATATGCAGCGCTAGGCTACAAACAAACAAGTTGCAGAACTATACAGTCAGAACTAGATTACCAATCTTGCTTTGAAATACCACTTACCACCTCCATGCATTTGCTTCCCAGCCAAAGATCCAATCCACTTGCGCCACCACTGATGGTCGATCACCGATCCACTCGATCCCGACCGCCGCACCGGGAGATGTTTGTCTCCGGTCGTCCATGATGAAGCACCGCGCAAAAGCTGCCCAGCCGCAGTGGGTCTTCATCTTCGATTGAGACGAATACCTTCAAGGCCAAGGGGGCGTTCCAGTCTGCTGTTGGGTAGATCAAGAAGAATGGATGATCATTTACTATACATTAGCTTTGGGACAGAAATTACTGTTGTATTCTTTTTGTAGTGAACACCTCAGACATGAAGTCTTGAAGTTGGAGTTCAATGGATGCCACATATCTTTTGGAAAGCCAACACCTTGGAATACTTAGGCTTCTGTGAGTCAGTTAACCCTTGAGACATGCTCATATGAAGCCTGCGGTTGCAGATCTCTAGGACAGCCACAAAGCCACCTTGTCGGATTGTGATAGCTGAACATTAGGCCATTGACCATGGCGCTGAATCGATACTACCTGACTGGTCATATTCCCATAACAGTCACAAACCAGCCAGCACCTGATAGCAGAACAAGTCTACTCTGGAGATGTTTCAAGAGACCAAAGTCATGGGAGGTGACATCAAGTCAGAGTTGTGCAGGAGGACACATGTCACATATTCTTTCGATAGTTTTGCCTCCAGACTCGAGATAGTTGTGTTCTTGTTGAAGGTGAACTTGGTCCCATGAATATCGACCCACACGCAGTTACACTGGTCCAGTCGTTTTGCATCACAGCACTGGTTTTCCTGGGTCCTGTCGTTGTTCAACTTCCAGGGGCGTGTCACTCCTTGTAAATCTGAGTGGATGTCATCTCGCTATTATCTCCGGTTTTTTGGATCACGGTAGAACCCTCTTATCAGAATCATCTTTAAAATTCTTTAAAGATCGATATCATATCCCAGTAGGCCGTCTGGATCTTGTACACTCCGCAACTTGCAATGCTGAAGCATATGTGAAAATCAGTAACCTCCAGCTGATGCTAGCTGTCCTGCACCGACTGGCATACAACTCTCAAAAGCACAGCGCAACAATCAAAAACCATTCTTTTCTACCAATCCGCAACTGGGGTATCTTCTATGGATAACGTCAAGTGATGACACATGGCTTCCCCAGTTGGAGGTTGAAAAAAAGCTTGACTCCAGCATCTTGGTCGACGTCGTCCCCATAAGTCATCAGTCAGGAATGAGTGGGGCAAGCGGAAAGCCACACACGCACCCTTCGGGCAATTGGAGTAGTTCCTGGGGGTATGATAGAAATCCTTGAGAATTGGAAAACGACAGTGATGCACCCTGGATAATCATCACTCCCCTGTTCTCCGCGGCACAAAGGCGTCTCACAAGCTGCACAGCCTCAGGTAAGTTGTGGGGGTTGGGGTTGGTCTGGAATAGACGAAGGCAACCTGGCAAAGAACATGTGATTTATACACATAAAATAACGCGTTAACAAATTGTACACCAAGGATATTTGATTTGCAATGTTGTATATCGGTATAAGCATGTTCCATGTTAAACATCCTGATTGCATTGAAGTCTGGTGTTCCTTTTCAGAGGTAGTAAACATGGGTTGGACTGTCAGAGGGTCTGTTTTTTGTTGTGCCAGGACTCAAAATGTTGGGACCAAGATCATCAAAGAAAAGGAGCAGCAATGACTCATTGCCAATGAGTCTCTGAATAGTGAAACATCGAACATCAAACTGTTCTTTGCAACCATCTACTGCGAATCAAACCGGACAGGCCGTGAGTCGACCAACTTGTCCAAACCACCACGATCCATCGCCGTCGCGATCAACCTCCCTTCAACTCCCTTCCAACTCAAAGTCAAGCGTCGAAAATGTCCCCGCTCGGGGTAGAAGTTCATGTACTTCCTGAGCAGAAAAAAACTCCGGTCCAGGAAACACCGTCTTTAGTGAAAGCCCACATCTGGGTGAGACCTTGAAAATTAGGGGTGGTGCTGGACTTTTGACGCAAAAAAGGAAGGAGACCACACCTTTTCAATTCTTTCTCATCTATATAATGCTCGAGGTAAGAACTCCAGAAGTGCCAAATGATGGTCTGGTGTAGAAACAGAAAGCAGCCCTATGACACCTACAATGCGAGGGAGCAGCAGCGCCTGCTGGTGCCCCTGGTATCAGCCAACCCACTAACCCACAAAGGAAGGCCAACGCCCAGGCACCCGCTGTTTCGGGGCTCTGTAACCTTCTCGCGCATCACCTCATAGACCTCCGAGGTCAAGTGCCGCTGCCAGTACTCCTCATCGTCCTAGGTGGAATACTAATAGGATCTAATAGGAGAGCAAAAGCAGAGACACAAGTGCGGGTCGTACTGGGGAAACCCCAAAACGGAAAAATGTGTCGTTTTGTTGAAGACTTCCATATGAGCGTCCAAACCGATAGTTAACGAAAAGGGAAATCGACAAGGCTATTGCTTAACATAGCTGAACACATCCAAAAAGTGCATTGACATGGTGATTGCTTTTTAAAGTACCAGTAATGGGGGCCTATTCCCTTTCCAGATTTCAGCCATGATTTTGTATTACGCGAACAGCTGGTGTGTGCTCATTTGGTCATCGCTGGTTTTGGATGTTGCTCATACGAGCAGGGTGTCGTGAAACCAATCAATCGCCCCCGACATGGCCCTGGTCTAGGAAGGACACAATACTGAGAAAGCTGCTGCTTTTTGATACGAAGTTCAGATCAACACATCCACAATATGGGTTAACTAGGGAAAAACGAGATTCCCACAGCTTTTAGTTATGTTCCTTTGCCGGATTCGGAGGGCTACAAACTTGATTGATCCACTACTAAGAATCCACTACGGAATCCTTTTCCAGCCAAAACGCGCCGAATTCTCACAATTCTCCAATCTTTGGCCAGGTCTCGGGCACAAACAATGGCCATTGGTCCAAGGTTTCGAGGAGGCGCTTGCCCTTCAGCTGCAGGCTCACCTCGAGCGCTTGCGGTTTTTCAGCGCACGACGCGTGGGGCGTGGGCGTGGAGTGTCGTGCGCGCGTCTCGGTGAATGGGTCAAACGCGCTGGGCGGTGGCTTGGCCAAAGAGGTGAAAGAGGGTAGTACTGAGCTTCTCAGCCTCCACCGAAGCAGCGTTTGGAGTGTGTCAATGGCATCCCATGACACTGTGACCGTGTTAGGTTGCGGCTTCCCGCAGGTTCCACCCACAGCTTCTCAGATGATAAGCAGGATGGAGCGTAGATCAGAAGTGAGGAGATCTGAAAAAAAGAAAGCAACAAAAACTGATCAATACCATTCAGCAGCAATTGAACGATGTAATGTTTCTCACTGGTTTCTCTTGCTCCTTCCGAGAATAGCTCTAAGACTCTGAGTAGCTGGCCCATCCGCAATCAGGGCCCTGTCCTCGTCGCTTCCGGTACTGCAAGCGCCCACCAATCAGCGTCACCTCGACCGGGGCGCGCTCTGCACCGCAGGTGCACCGCTCTGCACCGCACGTGCCAAGCTGGGTGACTCCACCATTCTCAACACTAAGTCGCTATAAAGCAGAAGTGGATTCTACTGGACAACGTAGAAATCACTAAATGGATTCTGAAAAAGCATGACTCATGCCAGATCTATGACGGTCACCGCCTTTTAACACACACGGACATCCCGCTACACCTAGACCCACCGGTTCCGAGCGCCTCCTCCACCACAGCGCCATGTTGCAACCGCTGCTCCTTGGCGGCGCTCGTCAGCAGCAGCTGCTCCCGCACCACCAGGCCACTGCTGGTGCCGCCCACCACGCGCCAAAGCACCATGGCCACATCGCAGGGCGGCAAAAAAGATTGAAAGCATCCATTTCCTTCCATTTCTAGGTGCCAACATGATGTAAGCTGGGGATACCTGGGGTGTGAACAGACCAAGACCAAGATTGAAAAGTTGGGTGGTGTGCTAGGGGGTGTCGTAAGTACTTGGTTCATCAGCCAAATGTTTTTCTGATTTCGTGATGGCTGGTGGGCTTTTCTGGGAGGTAGAAGTACCTGACGAGCTAGAGAAGAAGCTCTGAGCATTGGATTTCTAGACTGCAAGGCTCGAGTATTCAGTCTGTCCAGGAGTTCCAGGCCGGAGCAGGCCGCAGGGACAGAATCAGACTGACCGGAGCCGACTCGACCGGATGTGACCCGGTCTCCGTCAAACCGTGGGGAATGACCCCCCATATAGATAGAAAAGGTAGATCCCCACTAATGTAGTGGAAACCGTTTCTATCTATTTGGGGACCACTATAAATCCCTACAGGCCACATTCGAATGGTTACCATGCGGTTGTGAATCCTTGAACTGATGCTGGATGGGTCTCCCTCCCCTCGGATACGTCGGTGATTGGTCGGCTTTTTCTCCTGTAGTGCACACCAAGGTGAGGAGGATGTGGCTGTGGCGGACAGCTGCCAGGAGGCCAGAGGACCACCTGAGGCTCACGAACCGAACGAACCGAGTTCGACTGGCCCACGGCCTGGGTCCCTTCCACCGGACCGATGGCCTTTCATGGTGTTCTTCGATCCGCGGGCTGGGAGGTCCACCGGTGGACGAAAACAAGGCCTGAAAACGAGGTTCGCATCGGTGGCGATCAGGGTGACAGGACAGAGGAAGCTCGGTGTGGAGCCGAGGTCTTGACCCATGGCCCATTGGTCATTTTAGCACCTTCAAGAGAAGAGCAAAATGGGTAGCTCAAATGGGGAGACCTCCCAGGCAACGACCTCTTGGAAGGTTCGGGAAATGGACCAATCTATCCATAGGCTACTCATTGGGGCGAAGCCAAATGGTCGTTCATGAGGTTTTCAATCCGTGTCATACATACGGTTCGCAAAAATATCACCCACACCGGTGTTGGTTTCAGACTTCCCTGCTCTGGCAGTTCCTGAGCTTCACGAGAGCAGCGGCATAAAAAAGGTGGTGCCCAAAGAGTCCAGCGAGAATCGATCCACCTTTAAAGGTGGAATTCATCATAAAAGATCTTAAAAGTACCACCTTTGTGGAATTCTTGAAAGCTAGGTTGGAGGCCATCGCTATTAGGTGTTAGGTTCTTGAAAGCTACACCCCCAGCAGACGGACTCTCATGGACCCTGAGAGTTTCGACCAATTGTCCTCAATTCTACCCAGTGGTTTTGGGGTCCATGGGAGCATTTGGAGGCGGCGACCAAGCCTTCAGTCGTCCCTCTACCATCTTCTACCCCATGGCTCTACCAAAAAGACCCAGAGTCAAGCCACAGAAAACGATGGATGGAATCATTTGGAAACAAGTCCTGGAAAAAAGACACAAGACCTCTGGGTTACTTCTGATGGGGTCGAAGGATTCCACGTCCCCCTCCAGAACGACACGAACACAAACAAGATGTTGCTGTCAGTCGCAGCCCACCCAAGATGAACAGAATGGCCACCGAAACATAAGCAAGACCAAGCTTTGGGGATACTCATGTCTCATGCTCTTCAAGACGCTACTCACCCGACCCGACCGACCCTCGACTTCAAACACGTGATGCCGGAGAAGCGGCCTCTGAAACGCATGCAGCGCAAGGTGGCCCAGTGGGTCGAGATCCTGGCCATTTTGAGGTGCTGGGATGAGAATCCACTTGTGTTGTGGGTCGTCTGTAGGCAGGTGGGTCTGATAAGTTCGATGTTCAATGGCAATGTCCATGAATTTCATTGTTTCTCGGAAGGTAGTCCGGGAGTAGGTGGCTCCAATCTAGCGGATGGATGTTTTGACCTACAACCTGATTGGCTTGATCTAATTCCAAAGGGGTTGGGTTCATTTTGTGTATACCCTTACCAGTTTCTAACACAGAAAGTCACCGTTTGGATGACTGTGTTATTCCCCTCTACCATGTGGTTGCTATCTTGGGGGGACGTGTTTTGAGGCCTGTTGTCCAAAAGACTCATTTGGAAGACTTCTCGCCATGGCTATGGTGTCCAGAGGCTGTGGCTTTGGAGTAAGTGGAGCCAGGTGGACCCTGACGTCGGAAGGTGCTGGTTTATTTGCATGCCGAGTGAGACTGGGCCATCTGGGTTTGGAGGCCACCCTGATGATGATGATGATGATGATGATGATGTTTCTGCGACAAATACCCCCTATGATAAGGAATACCAGGAATACCATCAAATACCCCTCTTGCGGCTTTAGCAAGCCGGCATTCGACGACCTCCAATATATGATCACCTGACTCTGACCAAATGATTGGAAATCCAAAGCTGATTTGGCGACAGCGAGGGCGACAAAGGCATCGTCAACTGGTCAAAGAGAAAACTCCCCACCAAGAATGGTTTCTCACTAGTAAAACTCCAGTCCAAAAAGCATCGGTGATGGCTCTGACAAGTTTCAACCGGAAAACATCAGCCAACTCAGAAAAAAGGGGCACATCATCATCAAACCGTTTTTGGGGGCACTTCTAACCCAAAAGAAAGAAACAGAAATGAAGCCAGGCGACCGATTTTCCAAAATCCCTGGGCCAAGGAGCAAAGAGTCCGGTACATCATTGGCACCCGGTGGCCCCTGCAGAAGTGGGCAGGCCTGGCGTACACCGAGGACGGACGGGACGCCCCAAACATCTCGGGGCACAGGGGATGTTTTGCTCGGTTACAGAAGTAACACTAAAAACACGTGGATTCTTAGCAAAATCTCCCAAAACTGGTTACACTTAGGGTTCCGAGCTAAGAACAACTAGGACATGTAGACCTGCTTCTGCGAGAGGTGGGCGCGGCGAGGTACTGCGGCGACCGACCTCACACGTTGCCGGTACAGAGGTGAGACCAAACGGGTCATGTTCACGTTCGGATCCGATGTTTGCTCAAGATGTTTGCTCAAGGATCCAAGAAAGTCAATAGCAGTCCGCAGCTGTCCTTTTTTTGGGCTGACAGGCTTTGATTGAAGTGACCAACCCACCAGGCTTTCTAGGTGAGTTATGGATGATGCGCAAAGGTGCTCATGCCCTGGGGCGATCCGTTTCAGCGACGTCCCGAGACCCCCAGTCCGGTGTTGGTCCCTTTGGAACCGTTGAAAGGTCGAGTGGAAGTGAGTGAAGAAACAATGGCAAACATACCTGGAGAATGGTTGTGCGGCCCAGAAAAGTCATGAATCCATTCTAGATGATGTCCTGGATCTTGAGTTTGAGAACTCGCCTTACGAACAGTAGGGCCCAAACAAGGTGCCACTTGGAAAAAAAGAAGAGCATCGACGACAGTTGGGCCATCAAGCAAAATCCTGTGGGGGTTTCCCGTGATGCAACCCACGGGTTACCCAACGTGATGCAATCGAAGACACCCGTGTTTCCTGAAAAAAGGTGAGCCTTGTGATTTGACCCACACGGTTTCTTCACCGGTTCGGTTCCTGTCCTCCGGTCGTGTGGGGGGTTTTCCCCGGGAACCCCCACCTCGCGAGCACTCTGACTATAAGCGCTCAGTGCCTGAGAGGGAAGCAAGTGGAAGGAAAAACCGAAAGCACCGCAAGGGGTCTGAAGACCTAGGAATGTCTACTGATAAATATACCAGGTCAGGAGTTCCGACTGGAGGGGCTACCTATTGGACGGTAAGTATAACCAGAACATCCGCTGGATGGGACTAAAAACTGTTCCTTTGGAATGGCTGGTGTGCTGCCAGAATACCCTACAAGTAACGGGGTGCCAAATGGTGGCTACCGGGGTGTCCAGTCCATTCACCAGCCCCTGCAAAAACCGCTCCAAACACCCCCACCTTGGGCACCTTGGGGTGTCAAGGTACATGTCTTGATGTGTTTCTTTGTCTGCAAGCCTGAGAAGCTGCAAAACGAAAGCCAGCGTTTTTACTTTCGAGTGTGCTTTCTCAGGCCACCCCCCCCGAACCCCCCTTCTTACTCAGCTGGCGCAGGTATAGATACCCAGAATAACTACAATTCAGTTGCCAGGTATAGTACTTCAAGTTCCCTTTCCGTCAACCGCTCGATAACCTTTACACACGCACAGCAATCCACAGCTTTGAAGTCTCATTCTTGCATTGAACTTATATAGGTGTGCAAGAGGTATAGCAACATAGCATCTATACGGACCCAGGGTAGCTACAATTCTGTTGCCAGGTATCCCACTTCACCTACCCTGGGTCCGAGCGCGCGCGCCTTGCTGGCTCCCGGCTGCCCGTGATTGAGGCGCGCGCGCGCGGACCCAGGGCAGCTACAAGGCAGGTGCCAGGTATACCCAGGTAGCTACAATTCAGTTGCCAAGTCTAGCATTGCAACCAACCGAAGACAATTTCTTAAAATCACAAAAAAGCACCTCCAAAACCTTGCTTCCGTGCACCCCTACACACCACCTACTTTCGAGTGTGCTTTCTCAGGCCACCCCCCCGAACCCCCCTTCTTACTCAGCTGGCGCCTTGCCAGGTATAGATACCCAGGGTAGCTACAATTCAGTTGCCAGGTAGAGTACTTCCAGTTCGCTTTCCGTCAACCGCTCGATAACCTTTACACATGCACAGCAAACCACAGCTTTGAAGTCTCATTCGTGCTTTGATCTCATATAGGTGTGTAAGAGGTATAGCAACATAGCATTTATACGGACCCAGGGTAGCTACAATTCTGTTCCTAGGTATCGCGCGCATGAGACTTCAAAGCTGCGGATTGGTGTGCGTGTGTAAAGGTTATCGAGCGGTTGATGGAAAGGGAACTTGAAGTACTATACCTGATAACTGCACTATAGCTACCCTGGGTATCTATACCTGACAAGGTGCCAACTACACCTTACCATGATGCAAATGATGCAAATTGCATTTCTTGCATCACCACCCCTCAAAAATCACCTCCAACACAACCTCAAAAAACGTTCCATCCGTCCACCCTCCTCCCCCAGCATGTGCCGAGTTTACGTGTACCTTTTGCGGGCCAGGCCCCCCAGACCCCGTAACTACTCACTTCGTTCGCCAAGCACAACTCAGCTGGCGCCTTCTACGAAGGCTGGCTTTCGTAACAGACGTGGGAGGCATCAGTGATCCGATCATCGGCTTCAAACGTTCGACGTGTGGCTGGTTCGTTCTTGCACCATGGCAGCCCTTCTCTTCCGGTCTCCATGGTGGACATGTCCAGGGGGTTGTTGTCCGTTTTCCGGGAGATTCTTGGCACGTTTAAATTGTTCCATCCAAACCCAACGGTTGCTTGCCCGCTTGCAGTTGATTGATGAGGCCCTCACTGGAAGAAATCTGGGTCGATCGGGCTGTATTTATCTGAAGAGCCTCTATCAAACATGGCGACTGGTGGAACAGGTGGAACAAACACTTGCAATCTTGGAGTCGTTTCAATTTCTGTGAGCAGCTTTTGTTGAGCTACCCGAGGTAGCTGCTACCTCACCCAAGAAGGCCGGTTCCATGTCAGTTTCGAGCTTCAAGAACTCACGCATTTGCATCAAGTCACTCTGCGCCACGCGCGACAATGCGACGCAGTAAGAAGACTATCCCGGTGTCTCCGCTAGTGGATTGCCACAAGTCCCAAAGAAAGGTGGATATGATGTGCAAGCTCCAACTCCATGCGGCTGACTAACATGGAAGTGGATGGCGTGATCCCAAGGAAGACAACCAACTCCTCAAAACAGGGGGTGCCATCCACTTCCATCTTGGCGAGTCTCAGTGTCCTTTCGTGAGAATTCAAAAGGTTGAGCAATCCAGCTTGGGGTGCCTATCCCAGCTTAAGGTCCCTTTTCCTGGTCCCAGCTAAGGTCCCAAAAAAAACCTCTCAAGGGGCCCCATGGTCGCATGAGGCTTCAGATCTTTGAGAATGAATCTGTTGAGGTGGTAGGAACCTACGGGCTTTGCTCTTTTCGCTCGCTTCGTTCAGCCCAGCAAAACACACACAGGAAACACACACCGACCTGCAGACTGAGGTGTTAGATCTTGCCGAGGTAGCTGACTGGGTCTCCAAATGTGAACAGCACTGGGTCGAAGATTGACCCCCTGTTGGGACAAACCGTATGTTGCCGTCAGATTGAGAGAAAACCAGGTTTATTCCAGCCATGTGGATCGGAACTTCGAAGGTACTTTGGACAAGATCCTAATCCCCTTCTCATGTCAGCTCATGAGCTAGCTCATGTCACTTTCTCTATGCCAGGAAGAACCCCATCAAGCTCACGTTCTCATGTCACTTTTGTTTCAATAAACTCGGCCTGGCCTTAACTTAAAATGAATATCTACCATAAGAACCCCTAGTGTTACCACACTCTTTGGCTAAACACACAAAACTCTCTCCGTTTCGATTGTTTTCTTCCATGTCGCCTGCAAGAGGCTGAACGCAAAGGGAGATCGGAGCAAATGCACCTGAACGCGTTTGGTTTCGATGTCTGCGAAGGGAGGTAGGAAGCAAAGGGAGATCGGTCGGTCTATACCGAAAGGCTTTGGTCTCCATGACTCTCTTATATATATAATATGTATACCGGAACCCGTTTTGACTTTTGACCTCTGATTGACCATGAAAAAATGGATGGTTGGTGGTCCAAAATAGAGCTGGGTTTATATATTCATCATTATTCATCCAGATTTTGCACTGTAGTATCGGATGACTTCATGGTATGCAGCGGAATTCCCTCTGGGGAACCAAGACCAGCCCCATGTTCATGGTCTTTGAGCTCACCCGACCCTTATAAGATCTTATAAGCAGACTTTGGCGCAGGAGCCTCTGGTGCTTCCAGTTCTTCAAAGCGGTCGATGTCGTCGACGAAGTGGCTCGCGCAGAATGTGCTTCGTCCAGGAAAAGAGAACTTGCTTCGTCGAAAGCCTCCAGTCCTTCTCAATCGAATGTAATCGAGTGTAATCAATCTACAATCGATTCTCTCTTGGAAGCGATCAAGCCTATCTATGCACCACCCTCCAGCGGACACTGGGCCACAGCACCAGGGACACGTCCTTCAGATGCTGAAAGCCTCGCGCGCCGAAGGACTCTGGGAGAGATGGGACATATGCAGAGACGTCCCCGAAAAGCGGCGCCTCCGAAGTGAGTTTACGCAGAAACAACGAGTCTGTTAGAGTCCCAAAACCAAATCTACAAGGGTGGGAGAGAAACGATGAAAACATGGGGACCATGTCACCAGGATTCTTGCTCGAATCCTTAGAGACGCACCGGAAAGAAGGACCCTAGTCGGATCCCTAACTCGAACCGACTCGAACTCATTGGCTCACCAACTCTTGAACCTGGGTCTCCTGACATCTCCTGACCATTGGCTGCATGGACACCTTTCTAACCTGAAAAAGCGGCCCTCCTTCGGGCCCTCCTTGACTCGGCTCGAGCCGGTCGTCTCTGATCCGGTCGGAACCGGTGGAAGTAAACAGGGAAGACCGGTCCAACCAACCTCCATGGGGGGGGATGGATGCTGTTGGTCGATTGTCCGAACCAAACGCAGGGGTGGTCGGAACGTCAGGTGTCGGTCTGTCAGCCGGGCACCCTTGAGCCGCACCCGAGCGTCGTACTACACCCGGCCGCCTTGGTTTTCATGGCGAAATCGATGGCCTTTGCACCAAACACCGGCCTGCTTGGAGGCGGTCGTCATGGACACCTTCCAGAAAGATCTTCTCATGGTGCAAGGTCAGCAACACCACCTCAGGAGGTTTATCCGTGCTCGCACAAACGGTCGAAATGGGAAACGGTCGAAGTCTGTTATACAACCGTTGAAAGTAGGCCGCACCAGGCCCAGGCGGGATGACTGGCGAGACCCAAGATCAATTCCGGCGATCCAGGGCACCAACATGGGTATCTCTTGTGCCACAAGAGAGTTGACCCCGTGGACATGGGAACGGCTGAGCCGTGGGGATGACTATGACATTCAGTCACCAACGTGTCACAGTCCATTGCATCACCACGCTGTCTAGACGTCGTCTATGCTTCGGTCCTTCAGGCCCTGTCTCCGCATGTCACCCTCCGTTTCGTGGTCGAAGCGAGTCGTCTTCGGTCACCTGAAGCATCCTGAAGCCCCCGGTTACACCCTGGTGGCGACGATCCACACCCTGAGTAACACCACGTCGGAAAACCATCGGACCCAGGAGGCGACGTCAGGGTCTATGTGAGTGGACTCGCGAGTGTACCTAACCCGGTCCTTCTGCTTTTGTCCGTCCCCTCCCGCCCCCCGGCTTCAACACCCACGCGCACAGCGCGAGGGGACATCGGGTGCCCGCACCACCAACTTCACCGTGAAGACCCTCTCGCGTACGGGTGCGCGCGTTTAAATGTTGAAGGCGCGGGAAAGAGAAGCCTCCCCTTGAAAAAATCCAACACATGGTCCTCCACTCAGAACTGGGCCTTTGGAACTGGATCCTTCCAATTGGGGCTTTACTCATGACTCGTGACGCCAATCAGACTGCTCCGATATCTGGGAATCAGAGGCGGATTGTCGTGGAAGACCTCTCAATTTCTGACAATGATGCTGGGCATCAAGTCACACCCGAAAGAATGATTTGTTTGATGTTCGTTGTGTCTTTGCCTACCAGACAATACTCTACTCAGAGATATAAGCTATGTTCCCAAAAAGCTCCCGTGGTCACACGGATACCTGAAATGAGGCCTCGGACAAACTAAGAAGTAAGTTGCAAAACAAAAAAACTAAGAAGTAAGTGGGTATAAACAATCTATAGTTCAATTGTTGAATGAGTTCAAGGGGGGATTTGCTAGTGACCTTCAGGGAGATGAATGTCAACATGTTGGTGTTTAACAGTATACTAAGTGCTCACAGTTAATTTCGAAAAGATCTTCATCGTGGATCCATTCGAGTCGAGTCGGTCCCACGCGTGGCGTTCTTCCCATGCGACTGGCACTTGATGGTCCCAGGAGGGTGGGGGATCCAACAAAATAAGAAGGGCATCAAAAACAAATCAACGACGGCTGATCCAAAAACGAAGGACAGACAAACATCTTCCCAGTGAGCCATGAAAGGACAAAGAGACTAGGGAAAGGACCACCGCAGCAGGGCGGGCGACAAAAGGACAGCGTATTGGAATGGACATGCTGGACACAGTGAAGGTGGGGGCCCCATCATGCACCAGAGGGCATGCAACAATTTGTTGAGATGCCACGGGTCAGCTTGAAAAGAAACGGTCGTGGCAGGACAGTGCTTTAACAAAAGCATAGATTTTGTGGCGCTGGAGGGGAGTTGGGGGGCAGGGCGCAGCGTCTCCCCACAGAGCAAACCAAAAATCAAACGCCACCAGACTGCACCACAAAATAGATCATCATTGAAAACTACACACCCCATTGCCACATCAATGAAGGGCAACCAGAAAGTGACACAAGGACCGTGACCATGGCAAACGGTTGCCTTATTTTTGCAGAGGTCGCGCCGTATTCGCAATCATGAATTGTGCAAAACAATGAACCACGAGGCCAGCATGAGCAGGAAAAGGACCAGGGAATGAACAAGGGGACCTACTAAGGATTATGTTGTTCATCCTGTTCTTGTTTCTTGTTGATCCTGCTGTTAACTTGTTAACATCTATATAGATGCCAATATATGATACGAAATGGATGGACAAGAGTTGGTGGTTGTGTCTGGTGTCGTAAAGACACATATTCTGGAAGCAAATTCTAGAGCTGGTTCATGTGGAAAAGCGGGCCTTCTGGAATTAGGTCCAGTGTATGTGTTGTTTTTCCAAACCAAGATAAATGGGGCTCATGGCAAAACTCTGTTTATAGGCTGGTACAAAATCCCTCCCCTTTTCTTCCATGTCCTTCCAACGTGCAACACGCCCTCAAGAACGATTTGTGTGGTTCAGAAAACCTATGGTCCCAACCAACGATCCATCACCCGGAGACATCACCTCTGATCGGAAAGGACCATGCTCACCAGGCTCCTGGCTTCATTCAGCCCATGAGATCCAGGCAAAACCCACCGCTCTCGCGGTTCAACGACGTCCGCAGCGGTGGTGGCACCAACTCCCAAAACCGGTTCGACGTGTTCACCCGGCTTCCATGGACCTTTCGTTCATGGTTCATCGGCAGCGGCCCTGTCGGTTTCCCTTTTCTCATTGGGTGGGTGTCCACCTTCAGTGTCTCATTGAATGGGTGTCTTGGGTGAGTGTCTTAGGGCTGTGAAGTGTGTTCATCCAAACACCTTCCCGCCCCACCGCGCCCAATCCAGCACCCATCGGCAGCAGGGTCCTGAGCAGGGTCCACGGGTCCACCGGTGGACCGGTGGAATCCGAAGACGGGGGGGGACAGTTGATGATTTGGAATGACAAGCATCCATAAAACGGACCAACAAAAACCATTGACCGTGTGAAAAGTAACCCATAAACCGTAAGATACCATAAGAACGTGTGTCCACACTGCTTGGGGACAAAAGAGAAACAAACATCTTGAAGTGGCAAAAACTACCAACACCCGCGCATTCGTCTTGAGTGTTGGTGTGATCTTTCCAATGGACTGCAGATTCGGGGGTTACAGCGAACAGCTTCGTGGTCTGCAGTTGCTCCCCCACGGATTGCTTTCTCTCGTGTGTGTTGTTTCAAGGTTGCTAGGACACTTGGAGGCATTGACTTGGATGGTACCAAGATGTCGGATCACCTCTTCCTTCCCCCATCATCGGGAGAACACTGCGAAACCGGGTTCCTCAGACGAACCACCGGGAGAGGCAAACCCTGTCGCACCTTTTGAAAGGCGCGACCAACGAAATCGAAGTGCTTTTGATCGTGGGAATACCTGTTTTTGACCCTAAACCCAATGGATTTGTTGGGTTGGTCCACAATAAGAGGTTTCCAGAGCACAAACCCTGAATGGATCTGAATAGTCCATGCTGGCATCAATCGAAAGCACACATGCACATTCCCAATAGCTGCCCTAATTGGCCACAAAGAAAAAAAAGCAAAAGGTAAATGAAAACAAAAAAACTACAGTCCATAGATCTCTATTAAAAGTACATGATTCATGCTAGTTATGTCCAAAGGTCGTTTCAGATCTCCCCAAAGATGGGAGAGTTCCAATCAACAGAAAACCATACTAAAATGAACATCAATTATACAGTAAGAAAAGCATCAGTAGTAAGTACGGAAAAAACAAACTTCGAGAGGAAACAGGCGTTCTTGATTTGATCGAGGTCTGAAAATGTCGCCATGGGCCACAAACAACAACCAGCACTGCTCAACACCCCTCACACTAACACTACTCAGCACCACATGCAAACCCCCTGGCCGCCCTGGCCCCTGTGGTGGAAACCTGGAAGACTCGGCATAGCACTGCTGCGTCCTTCGTTCCAAGAAGGCCATTTAACACATTGTGGGTATAAATAATGTACAATTTTGTGCAGGCGAAATTTGTGAAAGAAGGTCGAGTTGAATCCATCTATATAAATATGCATGAAGCCATTTGGGCCACCGTTGCATCCGTCAGAAGCCAGGTTCGGCCTTGCAAGTTCATGACATACCACAGCAATAACACAATGAGTCAACGAGAAGTCCAAAAATCGGGTGTGCAGTGAACTGACCAGCGGGTGGCCCCGTGGCCTGTGGCACCTGCAGGTCAGTTCCACTCTCCCGCTTCCAAAAAGAGGCTCCTGTTCTTGGTTTCTGGACGAGTGGTCGGCTCGGGGGTGAAAACTCGTTTCGATCAAAAGGAGAACTCGTTGGATATGGTTTTCTTCCCTTACTCCAAAAGCAGAACACACTACCAGCTGCTTCCATTTGGAGTCACCCAATTTCACAAACCCAAGTCACAACTTAGGTCGGTCTTTTTTGATTGGACATCCCAAACAGGAAGCGAACAAAAAAGAGATCTGATCCATGCGCGGGTCGTTTGTGACCAGCAATGCTTTCTGCCCCAGTCACTCGTTCACGGTCGCCCTCCAGCTGGGCGTACAACTGGCCCTAGGCGTGCGCAAGGAGGTCTGTGGCGCAAGCTACTCGACCTCTTGGCTCCAAGTTTGGGCAAATGGTCATCCAAATGAAACCTTCCCACTTCCCACCAAGTGAATCCTATGTTTCTTCAATAGCTCCGCATTCCGACATTGCAGACTCAATTTCATGACGACGACGCCAGTGATGATGATGGAATACATCCAAAACCTGGTGAAAGCAGACCACTCCGACCTGCAAATTTGGGGAGAGAAGACTCACTATGTGAAGCCAACCCCTCTGATCTCTGCCTTTGGGACCAAGTCACTGCAGTGATCATGACCTCAGGCGACGAGGGACCGCGTGCTGTTGGTCGAGTGGCACCAGGATACCTTGATTGACCTACATGGCAGGGCAAGGCAGGGTCAATAATCCTACACTCCCTGAAATCGTCATCGAAGTGGATTTCACCCACTCTTTGGTATTCGGAACATGGTCATCCGAAATCGGGGCCATGTTCCATCCACCTAAGGCACGCCGGGCACGCATTCCACGGAGAGTCACCTGCTATGTCCAGTGAATCATTGGGTCCGAGAATTCCCAAGTCGTCCGAATTCTTCATCGAGTCGAACACTGTGCAGTCCAACGCTCCTCTTCAGGATCTGTTTTCGCATCGAAGTCGAAAACCTCCCTCAAACATGAAGATGACATAGGATGATCCACCCAAACATACCCAAACGACCCTTGGGCCAGGTCTCCCTTTGTAAATCTACGCCTCCCCAACGACCTGACGACCGGCCAACGGCTTCGTTCCGACCGGCTCCCTATCGGCACGGATCGCACAACTGTTGCTACGGGATCCTTTAGACTGGAGCCGCGCGTCTGCATCATCTTGGCTTCAAAGCCTCCGACTCAACCCCTAGGGTCAGTCCTTATTGGAGTGGGATCCTTTAGACTGGGTCCTTTCTTGTACAAATGGGACAAACATCTGGATGGGGGTCATTCCCCACATGGGATTCGTGCTGCTTCGTCTCTCCACTCCAAAGGACCAAAGGATTCGTGTGGAGTACGGTGAGCGTACAAAGCTCAAACAACGAAGACCTCGACTCCTGCTTTCAGAGGAAAAAGACTCCAACCTCCAAGTCAAGAGAGGAGGAAAAGAGGAACACCATCACACCCGGGGAAGGAACATCAGACTTGGGATGACTTGGTTCTGGCACCTTGGCTGTTGACCAGAAGCAAACACTCTGAACCCACCCCTGGATCTCTGGAAAATGTGGAAACATCGTCTTCCATGCTTGGGGCGCTTTCAACATCGTCTTCCATGCTTGGGGTGCTTTCAATTGACCCACGTGATGTGTACAATATGTTTGTTCATGTTCATTCTCATCTAATCATAGAGATTGAGTTCAAAAATCATAATATCTAAATTAGTAAAAAACTATATGAGATATATGCCACATGATTCCACATTGCTCTTCGGCACCTCCACCTCCCTCAATCCATCCCCATCCTTCCCCGGGCACCCCTGCCGAGGAATGGGAATAGTTCAGCGACACGTCGTGAAGGGCTCCCAAGATTCGGGGCCAATCCACCCGGTCCTGCCGAGACGCCCGAGGACTCCCGAGGATCAGGATGCCGGAGGTGGTAGGGGCCATGGGAGGGATGTTGTTTTCCGTTTCATTCTTCCGATGTCGCACGCTTGTGCGCTTCAAAAAAGACGTGATGCACTGGTCATATGTTTCCTATCTTTTACTTATGAGGATATGGGGAACTACTGAAATCACTAACATATTACTGTATATCATTAGTATAGAAAACAAGAAGGAGTGTTTCAAAACAAGAAGAAATGTTTCAACGTTATGCAAAACCACACCAAACACGAATCCATCGTACGGTTACCATATCTGGTAACCATCAAGGTACGGTTACCATATCTGGTAACCAGTCGTCCTTGTATGGTTTCCACCAAGGAATCCATCTTTGAAGTTCCAAGACTTTGTTGGACCGAACCCGTTTCGGCTGTTTCTTTCAGCCTCGGCTCGGCTTTGTCATGAAACGACGCGGCTCCGCGACAAGTCGCTCGGCCCTGATGGTCCTCCAAAATGAAGCGAAAGAACACTAAACCCCGTGGGTTTCACACCTTGCACCACAGGGCATCTTTCACCCAAAATGGCCATGTCAAGATCTTCTCCACATCTTCGGATGCCATTCTGAGCACCCCATGCCGCTGCCCATCGGTCAGCACTAATCCACCGGGTCATCGGTCTGTCCTCGGTGAAGGCGCAGTCCAAGCCATGGCGTAACGCCTCCCGCCAGCGGATCGGTGGATCGGTGCAGGGGATCGGCGGCATGTGGAAAGCCTTTTTACGAAGAGTCTTGTGCAGCGGCTTATCCAACTAGAGAGACCTCGTGGATTTGGATGCCAGCAGCAGCAGCAGCAGGAGGAGGAGTAGTAGTAGGAGTAGTAGTAGTAGTAGTAGTAGTAGTAGTCGTAGTGGTCGTGGTAGTGGTGGTCGTGGTGGTGGTAGTAGTAGTAGCAGCAGCAGTAGTAGGAGTACAAGTAGTAGTACCAAGGAATCTAAAGGATTAATACTTCAAAACTTCAACATTGGTGTATTTTGTCCGGGGAGAACCCGAAGCCCGATGTCTGGTGAGTCTATTTTCCTTCTTCCAGGGGGTCTTTGAATGTCTTTGAGAGGTCTCTATTTTCAGGCACAACCACATCCGCCCACATCGTGTAGGGACCTAACCCGTTGGACTCCAAACGTTCGGATTCCGTTGGGATGCCTTTAAAAGTGGATAAAGTTGGTAATTTCAGGGAGCTGCTACTAGTACTGCTTCAAATGATGATTCTTCAGCAGTGGTTGCACCAAATTCCATACTAAAGGAACTCCATCAAACCCTAATGAAAACCAATCAAAAGCTAATCAAAGCTCATGAAAACCTAAGAAATTCCAGATCATCAACCTCCCACCCCACAGCAACGACCCCTAACGAGTTTCTTCATTGACTGTGTTGGACTTACCCGGATTTTGAGGCCACTTTGGTGTTTGGTCCAAACTCCGTTGATGTCCTTTGTTGACAGTGGATACGGTCGGTCCGCATGAAGAGTTGCAGGAGAAATGCACGGCAAGATGCGAGGCCCGTGAACCTCATCCTGCTCGGAGCAACATATGACTGACATCGAGGGGTTTGCCCACTGGATACCAGATCATGGTCTCATTGGTCCTCAAAAATGAGAGTAACTCTAGCAGTTACAATACTGATTTCCAGGCTTGAACTTCCAGAACTCCACCAAATCAAACTCACTCATCCTCCAAACTCCGAAAACACTCCGAAAACCTCCCTGGCCTCGCCCTCCTCCTGCCTCCACAAGCCGGTGCAGAATGCTCTCGTTGGAAAGATTTTGTCCAATAGATTGGGATGATTCGGGTCAGGCCACGCGAATTTCGCTCCGCTCCGCCCGGCTGGGCGCGAAGAACAACGAGACCAACAACGAGACCAGCCTTTCAGCTTCTCGAACGAAGGAGACCAGATGAGACCAGCCAGACCAGTTCTCGGACCCTCTTGGCTCGGCTCGGGTGAAAAGGTCGGAACGGACACCGAAGAACATGATCTCAGGAACCATCTGGCTGCCTCATCATGTTCACCAGCAAAAAAATACACACATGCACCCGACTCTCCAACTAGGTCTTGCCCCCGCACCTGGCAGACTGGAATGATCTAAGATGATAGATCTGAAACTGAAGGTGTTTGCCATCCAAGAATCTCAGCCAAATACACATTTGCCCCGGAGACCGTTCGCCAACGCGGATGCGACTCTTTCAGATCCTGAAGCCTGGGATTCCTTCCAATCCTTATGTATTATATAGCATTCTGTAGTATCGTTTATGATAGTTTTAAGGGTCTGAATCCCCAAACTAACCATTGTTTGACGGAGTTACTCGACACAGGAGACCACAACTTCGACCAGGTCAACGAACGTCACGGGGAACTCGGTGCTTCGTCGCCCGAAGCGGTCGGAAGAGATGCGGGGATGCGTCGTCCACCGGCAGATGGTTCTGGTGAGTGTCCGAAAGCAACATGAATTTGATGTTAAGGGTGAATTCTATGGGTAAGGGATCAAAAAAAAAACAGGTAATCAAAAATATAGATTCAACGGGGATCAATACCTATGCCGAATTCTATTTACAATTGAATACCATTGTCCCTCAGAATTCATTCCAAAGAACAAAGAATTCCATGCATTCCATGCAGTCCGCATTTCTCCAGTGAAGCTCATCTTCTCCGCGCTCCGACGCCACGCCTGAGCTCCGTCGCCTGGGACCGCACTGTCGAGTGTCATGGCCCGCGAAGAAGGATGGCTCGCTGCAAGCCCAGTTGCCGCGAGCCATCCATGGTCCTTTGACATGTAAAGTTCTACAAGCCATCAGTGGAACTACGAGTAGGTAAGATGTAAAATCTAATTACGGTTTTACATGTCCCAGCCATGACCGTTTACAGGTCTAGTGAGAAAAATCTAAGAACTTACATGTGGGACTACACTTGAAAGTTCTCAGATTTTTCTCACTACACCTTCAGCAGTCGGGGTGACCATTAGACGATCAAGGACGATCATACGGTCAAGCTTATTTCTTGACACCCGTGATCCATATACAAGTAGGACTAATTATGGGTCATTGGCTTGAGAAAGAATCCGGCCCCTGTATTGTCAGGCCTCACTCACTATGGGAAAAAATAACATGGGTCTTGGATGGTCTTGGTACTTCCCAAGTTTTTCTGCGTGCAGTCATTTCGTCCAAGCTCGGTCTTTGCAGCGATGGATGAACCAATTCTTGAAAGGCGTTTGTTGTAAGCATTACGCTCGCATGCCTGTATTTCACTCACACAGTGCAATGCTTCTAAAAACGTTCTATAAGCTCAACTCCTCCCCCAGCCTTTCTTGCAGGCCCATTTTCTCCGCCTTTCAACGTGCACGTCAGCTAGCCCACTGGGCGAGGGCCGCCCGAGACGATGCGGGCCACCAGCACCGTGATGTCGTCGGGCTTTCCACCACGGTGGCGAAAGCCGTGCTTGGCAGCAGAAGCGCTGAAGGGGCTCTCCTGGGCAGGACACGTCACGGCACGACGCGAAATCTGTTCGCGGGCGATTTCGGGGATTGAGTGGGATGAACTTGCGGAGGACCGCAGATCGCGCCAAAAACTCAGCTCAGCAAGTGAAAAAAATGTGTCAGGGGAATGTCCGACGATATCCCGAAAGCGTGAAGTGCTACAAACAGGATGGCCTCCATCAGCTTTACGAGTCAGTTCGGTGGCAATACCAGTGTAGAATACGGGACTCCCACATGCCACATCGACGAATTGATTCCTAAGAGGATGAACCCAACCCTCTCAGGAGGCCACTGGCATATGACTGACACAAAGAATACTTTAAGATGTCGTTCCAATAATGCATAATATATGTGATATATGTTATAAGAACATATTACAAGTTACAACCTACATCAACCACACGTGAAATTCATTTCACCCACCTGCCACCGCCCCAGTGTTTTCCCGTCTCCAGTCTCTCGACATCACCGAATTGCCGAGGCCGAACTCCCCTTCGCCCACGCTCCGCCTGTAGGGAGTGTGATTGGGCGTAGGCCATCTCCACCAGTCGCTGCGCGATCTGCTCCACCGGTGCTGACGACATGGACCTCAACACCTCGGCGCATGCTCGCGCGTGCCGAGGTCGGAGCTTCGGCAGGAATGTGCACACTATAGGAGCTTGGTAGAGGCCTTGACGCAGAGTCAGGGTCAAAACCCATGGCTGCAACCCCTGGTGCTGTTGATAGGCCAATCCTGTGCCGGAATAGAAATTCCAAAACTGCCCAATCCAAGGAAAAGGGAATCCTACGTATAAACAGAGTCCTTGTCCTCGTAGCTTGGCTGGAGCCAGAAACGATGCAACGCCCATTTTCATTGGTCAGGGAGTTTCTTTTCAATGCAATCGTGATTGCTGCTTGGTGAGCTGAGCTGCCGGTTGGTTGGACAAACAAGTGAACAAATACTCGAAAATCAGCACAGCTCATATTGTTCGGCGTGCGTACCAAGCGCCACCGCAACGCAGTTTGTTGTGTCCACTTGGCCGTGTCCGACAATGCAGGGAGAGCGAAGCAAATCAAGGAGAACAGGAGATTCCTCCCCTTTCCAACGGATCTTCCGCATGCATGCATGAACCCCGAACTCTTGGCTCATCTATTTCAAGTTGATCCTTTCCCCTAATCTCTTGCCCCCGCAGAGCTCCTTGACTCATCCCCAAAAGCAGACTGACTGGTGTATTTCCCTTCTTCCAATGGGTCGAATATCCATAACGCCCATACCGATACCTCAAACAGCTCCCCAGCTGGCCGCTGGAATAGAGCTTCCTCCCCCTCAGCTCGCTGTCGCCTCCATGGTCTGCTCTTTCCAAACGTTGTCCAGAAAACCATCCGTCGCAAAGACCAACAAGTCCCCCAGCCGCACCTTCTGGTGTTCAGGACCATTTTCGTGACCGAAGAACGACCATGGACGAGCACAGAACGCGGTGGTGGAACCGCGGTAATGCCTCTGATCGCCCTGTCAGTAACGAGCACCGGGGGGATTCACGAGCCCTGTGAAAGTCGCGAATCTTCAGTTTCAATCTCCTTCGCTCAACAGTCAAGTCCACAATCTTCCCAAAAGAACATTTGTCTGGGAAGGCGCTAGTTGATCAAAGTATGCCCATTCTTGAATTAAACACACAGATGGTGTAGTTCCAAACTCATTCAAAAAACTATCTCTCACAAGAAAGAGATGAGGGTTTATATGGTTCTTGCTGTAGCGTTAAAAATCCATCAACTCTATCACCATAGCCTTATATACCTGGCCAACTCAACTGCCTCCCCCTGACCGGACCCCCAAATCGGTGCCACCCACCAACCGTTCGTTCCGTTCGCCGTCGTCGTTCCCGCTGACCTGGGTGTGGTAGGTGTCGCAACTGTGCGGCACGTCCCCGCCAGCGAGGCCGTGTCGCAGGTCTTCAGGCAAGCACACCAGCTGGTAGGGGCAATTGAAATAATGCTGCTGCTCCTGACAAGTGCGTCGCCACTAATGACAAAGGCGCTGCTCTTTGGTGGATAGGGGGGTCCTTTGCACTGAAGTTCTTAATTTGGCCACTTCACTAAAGACCCCATCGCATAGGCACGGTTATGTCCAAAGTGTCAACTGGTGCAGAACTCACGACTCCCTTGATCTGTCATCCTTGTGATGGGGGCTCACTTGACAAGACTCGGTCGAACACAGGGAGTCTTCCAGGCGAGTTTGGACGTCCAAAGGATTGTCAGCCCAAAGGAACTCACTCGTTTCGGTAGATCGCATAAGCCGCTAGAATTGCTAGATAGTTCATCCAGCTTTAGTTTGGGGGGTCGTTTTTGCACTAGAATGCAGTGCTGTTGATGAGTTTTAAAAAATGATGAAAACGAGCGAATTGTTGGTGATGTCGGTTATGCTGCCCGAGTGATAATGCGTTAATAACATCGTGTGTGTGTGCCTGCTGTGGCCTTCCCGAAAGAGAAACGAAAAAACTATTGATAATGTGAGTTATCCTACCCGAATGCAATTGCATCAATGAAAGCGTGTGCATGTTTGTACCTGCGGATTTCCCGATTGAGGCTGATTGAGTGCAACACACCTAAGATAGGTACCAGCATAGTCGCGCAATGTCGGGTCGCATCAACCTGGCTCAGAAAGCACAAGTATCCGTGCGGGCGGTCTTCGCCGCGAGGCGGTGTAAATTCATCTTGCTCAAACAAATCCTGCGCCATGTACTGCTTCTTGGTCTCACAGGAATGTAATTGTTCATCCAACACCACCAAGTTGGCACACCAAATATGTTCCACTTATCTCAACCAAGCAAGCTTGAGACGAACATCCTCGGCCCAATCAATGTGCTGGATCGCTGGGAGCTGGAAACAAGGTGAAGTTGTTGTTGTTGTTGTTGTTGTTGTTGCTGTTGCTGTTGGTGTTGGTGTTGTTGTTGCTGTTGCTGTTGGTGTTGGTGTTGTTGTTGTTGTTGTTGTGGTTGCTGTTGCTGTTGCTGTTGCTGTTGGTGTTGGTGTTGTTGTTGTTGTTG